CCACAGTCCAAAGGCCGCAATCCCAGGGAATGGGGCAAAATCAGAAGTAGCAGGGACAAAGAGGCTAACTGCACATTCATTTTGTTTTATTTTTTAAATCTGTTAACACAATGTTTATGCACTATAATGTTTACTACAATTGTTTTTGTGACCTGGAAAACAGGTTTAACTAAAAAAAGTTTTAAAACAGACCACCACCCCGGCTTGCACATGCCACCCCTCTAGTGGACATTCTTAAAAATATATATATTGGGAGGTATGGGATCTCAGAACATTTTAAGTGGAATTCCAACCTCCTCAAATCATGGACAAATTGCTCATTGTGCCCCCTAGAAGTTACAAGGGGCATCCTGATAAGTGTGGGAAGTTTCCCAAAATATTATTTTCATTATGGCAAGGAATGAAGGGGCTGGAATCCCCCAGGGTTGCTCCCAGCCTACAGCCTTGGAGGCTGCACATAGAATGAGACCTGTACATTGCCCATCTTTGCCTTAGAGCAGTGGTTCTCAAACCTGTGTCCCCAGATGTTCTTGGACTACATCCCCCCAGAAGCCTTCACCACTAGCTGTGCTGGCCAGGATTTCTGGGAGTTGAGATGAGGAGCAGAAAAAGACCATCTGGAGGGTTGCTCAAGTTGAGGTGTGACTATAACTACTCAAGTTTGAATACACGGAGGCGGTGGCTTCAATGGTTTCATCAAACACCATTCAAGGCTGGAAAACCTGAAACAAGTGAATGAGAATATGACACCTCTTCCCTTTTCTCCATTCTCTGCACAAATATAGAGGAAGGCAACACAACAAAACATAGCTCTTGCTTTCCCAAGCAGTAAAATGGTGTTCGAGAAGGTTTTCTAAAACCATCTGTAGCTCATTCTTCCAAGGAATAACTTCCCTGCTCTGTCCAAGGGAAAAAGAATTGTTTGCCTCATTTAACTGGGAGAGACGAGCTGCATTCAAACGACAGCTCACACAAGCCAAAGGAAAATGATGCTGTTCTATGAAACTGTTGTAAGTATGCGTGCATCTGAGGGAAAACAAACCATCTCATTTTGGTCAATAATAGTTTACGTCGCCCACCACTAATTAATTGAGCTGTTAGCAGGTTGCTGAGAATAAAGAGGAAATAGTGCCCAAGGAAACTCCGAGTGGCAGCCTGTGTTACTATTATTATTTTCCCTTCAGCAAATGAAAAAGTCAAGCTGTTATTCTCAGTCACGTATAAGGAGACTGAATTCTCCCACTCTTATCGCCTCAGCAATGTATGCTCAGAGCTCCTGACACTTGGCAACACCTGATGAATTAGCAACAAGGATCACCTCCTCAAAAAACGAGAAGCCCAGAATGCGTTGGGCCGGCCTGCATGTAAATCATACATTTCACACAGCTTCACGAGAAGACCATTTTGCTGAACAGCCCGGCTGCAGAGGAAAAGGTCTTTAATATCTATCTGCTGCAAATGCAGCCATTTGGAGAAGCACCCTTTCCCTCCATCCATGAGAGCTATCAAGGTGTGTAAGGCAAATGGGGCAAACGTTCTGTGGCTCCTGGTCATCTCCGCTGTGACGTTCCAGCCTCTTGGAATACATTTCTACAATGCCACCGCAAAGAGAGGAAGTGGGAGGGGGGCGTCCACAGGATATGATAAGAAAAGCAGACGTACCACATCCCCCCCCACACACACACACGCACGCACGCACACACGCACACACGCACACACACACACACACACACACACACAAAGAGGGGGAAAACATTCATTCTCTTATCGCTTCCTAACATTTTAGGCTCTGAGGATAATCTCTGATCTTGTGCTGGAGCACTGGGGGCTTTGCAGCAGCCGCAGCAGCTTTCAGAGCAGCCCAACTGTTAAGGGAGGAGAGACTAGTATAGTATAGTAGTAATTCGGAAAGACGTCAGAGGCGAGCCTAGGAACCACCTCCCACTTAGAGAGTTAAAAGCAAAGCATGTGACAGCAGCCCAGGCTGGAACCTTCCCTGTAGTTTTGTCAGAGGTTAAGGTCCAAGTGGAAAGCACACTTACAACTTGAATCATTTTTCCAAAGAAGTCACATGCCACTCTCTCCCAAACCAGACTTTAACCCTTACACAACTGCAGAGGAGGAGAAAGGAGCATCCAAAGACTGAACACACTGCCAAGCTATGCAGAGAGACCTGAAGCAACAAAAAAGAGAGAGAGAGAGAGAGTGAAGATCGACCCACTACAGCCATTAATGTGATACGTAAGCTCTTTGAATTATATATTAGCAGGGATGCAACCTATGTAGAGACAGCTGCTTATACAACACAGATAATGAAGATACTCTTGCCTGTGCAATATCCTGATCTTCGGGGAAATTTTCACTCACTGGTCTTGTCAAACTCAGTGCACAGAACTCAGTTTTGTCTTCTCTCAGTAACATTTGAAAAAACTTGCATTTTACACAGCCAGAGAGCTAAGATCTCTCAAATACCACACAGCATGCAGCAATAATATTTGTTCTCCTCTCATGTATACAAAGACTACATAATTAGTTACAAGGAAGGAGATTATACAAGGTAACCAGGGTGCTTTATGCAATCCTAAACTCTTTTGCCTCAACTTGTTTTTTACTGACTCCTTCAGCTTTACCCTCAGACCCTTTCCTCCTTCCCTGTATCATGTAAATAAACTTTGGTAGGGCAGAAAAATACAAAGCCTGCTTACAAAATATTCTGCCCTTGTGTCTTTAATCTAGCTGTCAGCCTCTACTACTTAAGCCTCTGAAAAAGTCCCCCTAGCCAATACTTGTCCCATGATAAAACTGGAAATCTCCAGCACTAGCCCTGGAAGGAAGGTGCTCAGACTACCCTGAGCCTGGTTTGGAGCAGTTCCCGTCTGGTTCTGTCTGGCACATAAATACACATAACACCAGGGACGAGTCTGAGAGATCCAGACCAGGGCACTAACTGCTTGTTTGGGACTCAAACAATACTGACTCTCCTCGGCTCTTTTATAAGCAACTAGATAAATAAATAAATAAACCCGAGACGGAAAGGAGGGAGGGAAGGGTGGAACTGCCACATCCCAAATCAAAGCCGTTTAGTAATTTCTCTCTCTATTCATGAGAAAAACTGGAAGGCAGTGGAACCGTAACCATGGAAAACTCCTTGCAATCGTACAAGGCTCGGGGCTTGAGAGATGCACGATTGGTCTTTGCAGCGGCGGCGGCTCCCGAGCCTTTCTTCCCCCCCCCCCGCTCCCCCGACACCGTTCCTTCTCCCCATGGAAAAGAATGCGGCCCGCTGCCCTTCCAGCAGGCACCCACCCGCTCGTGACCAGGCGGCGACTGCCAAGAAGCCCTTAATCTGATTTTAACATGCAGCTCAGTCCAAAAGGGGGCAGAGATTTGCAAACTTGCTCATTGGTTGCAACGCGACCTCCCTCGCCCTCCTTTTTTCCGAAGCTGCAGGTAAGATGCCCGGCAAAAGCGCCGGACTCGAGTACCTGGGGAGCCTCTCTTCCCCCCCACCAACCCAGCAAAAACGCAAGCCGAAAGAGGGCAGAGGGACCCGCCGGGGTGGGGGTCCGTCCAGCATCCCTCTAGCCTTGCTCCCCCACAAGTCTGTCTCGTCTAGAGGAAAAAGGAAAGAGCCCCAGCCTCACTTCCCAAATGTTAACCCAAAGGAAGAAGAATACTCTTCGCCTGGAACAAACGCAACCCTTTCCGGCATTTCGCCCCTTTCCAAACTGCCGCCGGTTCCCCCTCCGACGGCTCCCGACGCCCCCCCCCGCCCCATCCCCAGAAGCTGAACTGCGCCTGAGCGGGCGGGGAGGGGGGAGGCGGGGGCTCTCTCTGCACCTTCTCCNNGGGCCACCAGCGCGATTCCCCCCCCCGCGTCCACGTGCGAGTGGTGCTGGAAAAAAAAAACTGTTGGGCCGTCTCAAGTTTCTCTTCCCTTTCCCCAGCAGCAGGGGGAGGGCCGCCCGCACCTCCAGACCTCTCGCCGGAGGAAGGCTGTCTCGCCCTCCCTTCCGCCGGCGCCCTCCCCTTCTTCTCTCCCTGCTGCATGGAGAGGAGCGGCACGCAAAGAAGCCCTCCCGGGCGGCCGGGCTGCAGCCTCCCCTCGCGGCTCCGCCGGACGGCATGGTCCGTCTGCGGCGGCTGCCTGCCGCCTCCCGCCTGCCCGGCCGCCGCCTCCTCCTCCTCCTTCTGCCCGGTCCCTGAGAAGCGCCGGCCCCGGAGCCCAGGCAGATCCAGACTCTCCTAGCCCTGGAGGCACGGGATCTGTCAGGACCGCGGCCGTGGCTCTCGCTCGCCTCCCTTCGCCTCTGCCGGGCCACGAGGAAGACGGGAGAACTCCCCAAGTCCGTTTTGCGCACAGGCGCTTCCAGGAGGGAGAGGTCGGGGGTTCGCTGGCGCCTGGCAGGATCGAGCGGGCGCGGTGACACTTTCTCCTCCTGATCCGGAGATCTCACGGCTCNNNNCCGGGCCCCCCACCCTCCCCCCCCCCCCCCCCCCCCCAAGCTAAACACGCAGACTCTTTGCCGGCGCCCCCGATTCTGTGCAGAAGAGATGCAGCAACCTTGGCACCCCAAATCAAGTACGTGTCAGATCGCAAATACCTGAATGCCATGCTCCCCACTAAGTGAAGGATCGGGGTCCCCCGCCCACCCGTGTCACGCTGCATGGCAGATCTAGGAATCTTACACAACCCGCGCCTTAATATGTAACACAGCGGAGAGCCCCAGTTCCCCAATGCTTCCGGGATGCCGGCGGCCGAGACTGGTCGATGCGTGGTGGGTGGATGCGGGGTTCCGACGCTC